ATGGGTTGAAAATAAACACAGGAGTTAAGGCTTGTTGTGGAAGTTACCTTGAGTCCTGCTTCAAACTATAGTTTTCTGTTTAAGCTCTTTATTAAAAGCCTGTTTTAGAAAAGGCCAGTTCCTCACTGCGTAGAGATTAGCAACATCTTAAGCCATAACAGCAAGAATGGTATCAGCACTTGGTAGTACTTTCACAGAGTACAATGTAGTCTCAGAGCAGATTTTGTTCGATGTCTTTTGGCCTCTCTGTGGATCCCTCTCAAAACTTTAACCACCCTGGTGAGATAGGAGGTGCCCTGGCAAGATTGTATGCTAAGATGAGGGATGATTTGATGACATTACCTGAAAAATCCAGTAGCGACTGCACTGCCCACGTGCATTTGACTGTGCTGGGGGTGATATTCTGCACCTCTGGCAGGGACGGCTCTGACCGCTGGCAAATGCCAGACGAGGTCAAATATTCCCAGCTAGAACATATTCTGCTTTTAGTGTAACGTGAGGGATCACTGTTGTGTATTCTAAGTCCTGGGATGAGGACAGTCTTTCTAAATTTTTTTTTTTATTTTCTCAGTGAAAGAAAAAAAAAGGAAAAATTTCACAACAGCCCTCAAATGGTCACTTCCTTTGAGGTTTTGCCCTGAATACTGCATGAATTCAGCTTTTGGTTTTGTTTTACGCTTAATTGTCTTGCTTAATGAAAGAACTGAGCTACCATACCCTTGCTGACACATTCTTTCCTCAGTGGCCGAAAGCATGTGGCACTCTGGCAACAAACTTGTCTCCACCCTCTCACCAATGTTTTACTACTATGCACATGCCCTCTGAGACAGATTTTCAATAAATGCTGGATACTGAGAATGCAACAGTTTAGTTCTCAGAAGATGTGGACCATGACCTTGCAAACGTGAGAAAGGCCATGGACAAGGGTGTAATTCATGCAATGAATGACTCTGACTGTACAGTAAGTTGACTCACTTCAGTCCAGTGAGGTCACTGGAGAGCATCATCCTGCTCTCTCCAAGTCTAGGTTCAGATATTTGTCTTCTGCTGTGACTTGAAGACATTTGTTAGCAAGTCTTTGTTTGCATTCAGTGTTGGTACATTCCTGGAGCAGGCAGCTGAGCATTAGCAGCCAATACAGAACTAGGAATTAAAGATATGGGAGGTTTTCGTGCACATGAATGTGGACTTGGTTGCAAACACTGTCCTCACTGTGTGTCTTTAGTGTTATTCTGAAGAAAGAATGAGAGCAAAGAAAAAACCAAAACCTCAGCACAGGAAAAACAAAACATTGCCATTAAAGTGAGTCATTGAATGCTTCAGAGTAACCAAGGACAGGAGCAAAGAGAGCTGCTAAATGAGATGATCCTGTCAGAAGCCTCCCTGTATAGGAGTGTACTTATTGCCTAGTAACAGCTGAGATTGAGAACTCTCTATTGCCTAGAAGATACTGGAGAAAGACTAAGGGGACTGACCTCAAAACTTGGGGACCTAAAATTAGGGGGCACAGGGATCTCACTTCTGTTCCTTTTGCTTAGAGAAGATGTGTTTAGTTATCCCAAATGAACCCGTCCTAATCTCTTTAAAGTTTTTTGGGTGGTTTAGGTGTGTTGGGTTACCTTTCCAATGACCTGATTAACTGATGGATGTAAAATAATTGCTTTCATTTCTAGGTGGCAAGGAGCTCTTATTGACTGGAATGGCACAGAACCAATCTTGTGACTGACCTGACCTGCACTTTATTTGTAAAGACAAAAAGGAAACGACTGAATTAGCACATTCCTATTCCCACCAATACAGGAAATAGGACAAGAGTTGTGCAGTTTACATTGAAGAAGAATGACACGGTTTGCAGGCTGGAAGAGCTTCACCTCAATCACCTCGGTCTTCAGACATTTTGCTTGTAATATAAACAACACTTACGTAAATTCCTTGCCACTGCCTTTAACGTACAGGGACTTGAGTTTCCACCACCAAATCAAGGTTACAGATGAAGCAGTGAAGTCATCAACGTCCCCTTGAGGTCTCTTTCTGGATCCACTCTGTATCCTGCGATTGTTTCAAACCATCTGATGAAGGATGCTGAACCCAGATTTCTGTCACTTAAAATGCCTTCTGTGTACTGCCTAGTTCTTCATCTACCAAACTCCAGTGCAAATATAAAATATCGTCCAAGAAATATGTATTCTGTTTAGCTGAAATTAGTAAGTCTAATTTCGCACTAAACAGATTGGTAATGATATGGGCTTTTCAGATAAAGCCTGATCGCTATGAAGTTCTTGTTGTGTCATAAAGTATGCAGTAAGGATTGTGGTTTTGTGTTACCAGAACAGTAACTCTAGTTATGTTCCTTATACTGGGTGCAATTGGTGTGTAACAGTGCCTCACGCTGATATATCTTTCTTTCTGGGTGCGAGATAGGTTGTATCAGTATTTTTACATTTATACCATTGTAACTACAGTTTATTTACACCAAAGTGACCATAGAATCACAGAACGGTTTGAGTTGGAAGGGACCTTAAAGATCATCTAATTCCAACCCCCTGTTATGGGCAGGGAAAGGTGATACATACAAAGAAAGCGATAGGTGCAACCTGTGCTTTGCTTCATAATTAGAAGAAACCAGAAAAGCTGTTAGGTTTGAAATTTAAACGGCGCCTGTCTGTGATGAGTACCCTTTTTCATGATTGATTTAAGTGTATAGACTGAAAGGATGTGTTGTGGAGATGTACCGTAAGGTACTGAAACAGCAGTTTGAAATCTGAAATGAATTCAAGTGCATATTTTGGCAACATTTTACCAAAATTGGAACAAGTCACTGAACTGCAGGTTGGAAAAAATATCTTGGAAAAAAGGCAGATAAATGATGTTTCTAGAGTTATTCCTCTCTATTGAGAGTGAATATTTCATGAGGGCTTCATAAGGAACTTTTACTTTCTGGTATTTATCATAGCACCTTCTTCCTGGCCCTGTGAGTCCTGTTAATCTAGTTGCTCTTTCCAAAATCAATTGCAAACAGAAATTCAATGTTCTGCTGTGTGTAGTGTGGAGATACCAAACTGACTATGCAAATACACATCTCGGGAATTAGCATTTGCACTAGATTTGGAAACCAACCTGAATATAAGCCATAACGGAATACCAGAAATGTTTCCATAGTCTTTGAATGAACATCCACCTCCCCCTTTGCTTCCCATTCACGTCAAACTCTCTCTATGCAGTAAAGCATTTCAGACTTTCAGTTGTTTTTTATTTGATTCGGTGTAATTTGTTTTAGATCAGATAGGCAAACTTCTTTACACTTTCTGAGATTAAGATCTCCCATTCAGCGTCTGAGGCATAGGCAACATCGGATCTGAACTTGTTCCTGACTCTGCTATAGGGATGTTACATGGCCTTTGGCAAACTTTCATCTCAGTGTATCTCAGGATATGTTTGTCAGCTGTAGGTGGACTCAGTACTGTCTTTAAGATACACTAATCATCCACACCTCAAGCACTCCAGTTTTCCAGGAAAAGCTTGCCTCACTGCGACCCTCAGTGTTTCTGTGAGTGGGAGATCCATAACAATGAGAGATCCCAGATCCAAAGCCTTTGTTCCTCTTGAAATTTCTATAAACTCTAGGCAACCCTTTGTTTTGTGCAAATAACATTTCAGTTTCCCACCTACCTCACAGGGCATCTTTAATATAAAATAAGATTTTCTTGCAGAATGCATGTGGACAGAAAAATAGCATGGAGATGAAAAATGGTGGTAGGTTTTTGGAACCAGGTTTAACAAAAAAAATTCCTTTCTGGATTTTCCAGTCTTACACAATTTGCTTTAAAGCAATGCTTCAAAGTATGTCAGTTTGGAGATAACCTTCCACTCCCTGATAGAAGAGCAGCAAAGATAAGTGTTCACCTAGGGAGGGAGGGCACTGCCTTGTTACAGGCCAGATTTAATCTGGCTAAATTATGGATGTCTACAGTGCAGATGTGTTCAGAGGAGCTTTTCTCTGTTCAGAGGACCGGTGATATCAGGGTGTGATGTACTTTTACTTTAAGATGAGAACTATGCTCCAGACTGTAGGATGACAAGTATAAACAGAGCCCAAGAGGATCACATCAACTGGTTTTCAACCAAAAAGACATAAAGATTTTTCAGAGTTTAAAAAAGACTATAAATTAGTGAATAGGTCTTTGAAATAGGTGGTGGTTTATGGTTTACCTTGGAGGGTAAATGAGGATGAGGAGGGGCCCTGAACTCTGACCCCATTCCTAAAACAGGCTACAAAGAACTTTGCGGCTCCTTCATCACTGGTTATGGAAAGTATTTTTGTTGAAATTTAATTTCTGTGATAATGGAACCTCAGTGAAACAGGCATTTCTTACCTATTATCTGTCATTGTGTCCACATATATTTGTTCTGCGAAGTCCACTGTCCACCTGTCTTCTATTGAAGATGCACTAACTCCTGATTCACCTGTGCCCTCACTTACAAAGACAGAAATAAAGCACTTGGATCACTTCACCAAACCACCACCTGTGTAGGGTAATTCCACCAGACTAGAGCACTGACAACCTAAGCACTGCTAAGCTCCTTCTACCATCCTTCTTCCTGGAGCCCAAAAGCAACATTTTCCTTCACCGAGGTTCAGTGCCAGTGTCCTTACTGGGCAAGAGATCAGCATCAAGTAAACCTGCATATTTTTATTCAATATAAAACACCAGAAGTTATTTCCTATAAGACATTTTAGGGCTTTTTGAATCTATCAGACAAAGCAACGCAAAATGCTATACAGCAACACAGATTGCTTTGCACAGATCTGTGTAGAATCATATCCTGTTCCAGCAGCATACACCTATTTTTTTTAATTGTTTTCCTCTTCATTGTTTCTCCTTTTCTTTTTCATTGCCCAATGAATGTGACTTCCTGAAATGAACAAAACAACAACTGTCTGAGCATTAAAAGAAACCGGTGACATTGGCACTTGGTCTGCACGATATCTTAATTTCATTCTCTTTTCCTTTGTGGCGTAAAAAATACACCCTTTGCTGAAAATTGACCCCATAGCTAACAACAGACATGGCATATTGTGTCTGTAGATGAATATGTAAGCAAAAGTACTATTTTGGTGAGGTGTCATGTATGTCACCTTTGTACAAAATGTATATTTAACTTTGTCTTGTACAGAATGTCCTCTACAAATAAAACATTTAAACCAGCGGTAATAGTAAAAGCCCAGATTTCCTCCTCATTTTTTTTTTTTAACAATTGGTATGCAAGTGGAAATTAATCTGGGAGATTAGACTATAAATGTTTCATGGGCCTCAGCGGGTCAGTGGAATAATAACGAGAAGTTGGGCTTCCTCTTCTGTGAGAGGAACTGTAGCGCCGCTGGAGTGGGATGAAGTCTGACCTCGGTGGTGTCACACCAAGGCAGCTGCAGATGCTTCAGCCGGGTAGTCTGAAGCCAGTTTAAAGTGTGAGCTGCTATTTGACTCCACATGCACATGTCCAGGGTGCTCTGTTTGAGATCTACTCCAGTGGTAGTGAAAACTGCAATGATCTCATTACTTGTCTGAGATACTTTGCATCAAAATCACAGCAGAGGCAGTTGCAGAGTTTCACTGGGAGTCTGGCCAGGAGGGGTATGTGCATTATGGTAGGAGGTTTCTTACCATGTGCAGGTCTGCTCTGCAGCAGAAAAAAAAAAGTTTTCTTGTTATAGCAGCAAACACTCCTGGAAAAATCATCACTAGGGGTAAAATTCAGACTTGAGGAACCTGATGTTTTTCTACATATCTGCCCTTACGCTGGTCAGCTTTGAGATGTGATGACTATGATGAATGAATCTCTGCTGTCTCTATGTGTTTTGTTCCCAGATAGAGCAAAAATGACAATTTGCATCTGCTGTTTTCAAGTCTTCATTCTTCTGAGGCAGGTTCCTTTCTGGTTTTGTTCCTAATATATCTGATGGGCTAATTTGAAATGACAGGAAACGGTCACTTTAGAAATCAGAGGGAAACTGAAGAGCTTGGAGAAATGACACAACCATAAGCCAAGTTTTTCAGAAGTGATAAGTGCTTTAGGAGCTCTAAAAAACTGAATTGCTGAAACTGAAGTACTTGAAGAAGGCACGATTTTCTGGTGGTGGTTGGGAGCTTCATTACACCCCAGGGACTTCAAATTGCTGTGTTGTTTCTTGGTGTTTTTTTTCTGAAAATGCTGGTGTCAGTTTTTCAAAGGACTAAAATAATCCGTTCTTCATGGTACCTACAAGATTTGGGATATAATTACAAAAACGTAATGTGACACAAAATACAGACTTACATTATTTTGGTAACTCTGATTAATTTTCCTGTCCTGGGCTAAGTTTAGTATGGAGGAAACTGCCCTGAATTATTTTGCATTGACTACACCTGGTATATGGGCAGTTACAATGGAGTAGGTGACAAAAAAGTTAACCCACACCAAAGTTTGTCATGTGATAATTTCATTTATTCAGTTCATATTTATAGAAACATTCAATTAAGAATCAAGCACCAAAGCCTTTATGACTGATGTGCATTATTTTATTTTTCTGTTCATCAGTAAGGTCATGTAGGAAACAGATAGATTTCTTTGTGGAAAGAAAATGATTCCTCCTGTATGTCTGTATGATCCAGGGTCCAGTCTGCCTCATAATCTAAGGAAAACTCATCCCATTAAGAACACTTTGTATATACTAGCACTTTTCA